TCTTTATTCTTGGTCAGCTTTCCACATGTTTGAAAAGAAAGAAGTTCATGCCATTGAAGTAAATTTGGTGATGATCTTCATTTTTCAGGCTGCACATTTGCATCCATAGCATTTGAGGAACGTGGCATAATATCCCGAGCTCAAAGATTTTTTAGCAGCATTAATTCAACTGAGACAGTACTGAGGTGCAGTGTGGAAGTCAGAGTGGGCCTACTACATGAACTGATATCTGCTGACATTAGGGGCTGTCCCTATATTAAGAAGAACCGAATCTGATGTTATCAATTGAACAGTGAACGACTAAGGGGAGCATTGAACAACTCAAGGAGAAGTTTAGATTATTGTGATGAATTAAAGAGAGAAGGATTACAGTCAGCTTGGGTAAATCTGGGAATATATAAAGCTAGAGGACTAGAAGTTCCCACACAGATGTCAAAAATATCAATGACAGATGAGCAAAGGTTAGAGAGTGCTTGGCTTTAGGTTGTTAAAAAAATATACACCTCCCATGATAAATCGAGCAAAACCTTATAGAAACCAGGTCCTGCCGCAAGTTGTTGGCAGGTGGTAACTTCAGCTGTTACCACCTGAGCTATTTTACAGCATCTTGTTGACTTAAAAGGATACAAGAAGAATACATATCATTGGACAACAAGAATCAATGAGCTATTTTTATGTCTCTTTCTTTCTTGAGTCTATCTTCCTAGTAGCTGTCATTTTGGGAGAACCAACTGCGCTTGCGGAGCTAATCATTGCTCCTTCAACAGTCCATAACTATACTGAAATATGTGGAGATCCAAATGTCTGACGACATATCTTCTGTTTCTTCTCATATAAGGAACAAGCCTCAGTGCACAAACCTACAGGAGATAAATAATTCAGGTTAGATGCAAAACATTGATAAACTAGTACTCATAGTATTCATTGAAGTTGCTAGAAGAACATGGGTGGGGGAGGCCTGAAAAATCTGCCATTGAATTCAGAGTTTTCTCATCGCCACCGGAGCCCAGCCTCACATCTTTTGAAATATTCTGTTGCCGGCATCCGACACATATACCAAATTCTCAGCAGTGACTTCTCCTGGCTTTGCTCATCCTGCAAAGCACGAATCAAGCTTAAAATACAGTGAATGGGCGGTGTTACTTTAATTAGTTAAACTATGCTGACAGTAAGACGTATTTCTTGTGTTCCACTTCCACATAGACACAGCCCCTCCAAACTACTGACATCCTGGACACTGCCGGTTTTCGAGTTTTCTTGCTGAAACTGTTCACTTGGCACTCGAACTTCACGAAGACTGGATGGGTTTCCACATATCAAGCCATTGGACATCTGGAAAAAAATGTTATCTTCTAATTCTGGAGCGCAAAGGAGAACCTTTACGATCATGCCACCACATCTATCCTTGGTAAGAATTCAGTTTTTCAATACTTAAAGAAAAGGAGCAGTTGATCTTCAAATGAGCACTCACATTCCAAATGAAACTAAGGAGAAGACACCTCCTGGGACTTTAAACAGAATCACATGGTACCACATGTCCACAGAACAGCATCGGGACGAATGGATGATCAGTAAAGAAAACACATAATACTTCCTTGGCACTTCTTACCACGACCTGCAGGTTTCGCCCCAAAGCAGACCTTAAACAGAAATACCCATCCTCAACAATTCTCCTAGAAACAGTCAAACCTACGGTAAACTGTGAACACATGATACACCTGTAAAACTCATAACCAATAAGTGAATGTCACCATGACGAAGCCGACACTTGTCACCATCTTCCCCAATGTGAATAACATTCCAGCAAACACAGTTCATTCAAACAAAGTAAAGATAACTTCTGCAGTAGTTGCATCACATCATCCAAGAAACCATTCTCTCAACAAAATGGATGCACCATGCACACAATCTGTTGTTTGACATCGCTCTCACACGACATGTCAAACCCATCATCCAAGAAAGGCATATAATAGTTCATCTCTCTTTAGCTTTACTAGCAGACTATCTGGTTCTTGAATCTCAGGCAATAGTTGTAGACACCTTCAGCTATTGCAAATCTTCTCAACAGATTGTACCACACCCTTCCTGGACAGAACCTGTCATTCCGCATCTCCGGCTTGGTCTACATTAAAAATAAGAACAAAAGTTAGTATCGATTATCACATAATTTCTTTCAGCATGCACATGACAGGAATCACCTTGCCTCCCAAATACTTGTGCAATAGGATGTGTGCAGCTGCTGATGTTCGCAGCTGCAGAATCTAATGTAACATAATCGCTCACTGCATTTTTTTTTGAACGGTCACGGGGGGAGATGATCCCCACCTGAATATATTGCTCAAAAAGCTGCCAAAGCCAAGAGTCACCCCTTAACTTCCCGTTTATAAGGGAAACAGGATCGAAAACCTAAACAAATTGACCCCGTTTATAAGGGAAACCGGGCCGAAAACCGTACAGGCAACAAGGTTACAAAAGAAGAAAGAAAAAATGACGCACATCAATAACTGAAGAAGAGAAGAAAAAGGACGCCCCGGACAAGGGATGACCTAGCTAGCAGACCAAACGACCAACACCATGGAGGCACAAGTAGAAGAGGGGTGTCATCTAAGGATCACAATACCAAGACTAAGCAAGCAACCTAACACACCGCACCAGCGTGCATACCGAACCTCACGACACTACTCAGGAGCATCCACAACCAACGAGTGACAACACGAACCTTGACTGGGAGCTCCGCCACGGGAATTCGGGACGATTAGCAAGTTGGGGAGGCATCTTGCGTCGTCGAAGAGCAAAGATGAACCGGAACAACACCAATAGCACTAAGCTCACAGCAGCACAATGGCCACCGTGGGAGGGGCTTGAACATGCACAACAACATGGCCGACACCGGGGAACAACACCGAAGACGAACACCAGACGAATGGATGGATGACGGTGACTGGCTCGACGGAGAGACAAAAGTCGATGATGGGATGGCTCGATGGAGAGACAAATGTCGATGATGGGATGGACGGGCGTAGGTGAGAGGATGGAAGCATGGGTTTTCGCGATACCTTCAGGAAGGTTGAATGACGCCCACATGCGCCATCATTGCAGGACTTTCGTCCAAAACCATAGCTGCACTGAACTCCACAGCAGCGCCTCCAAGACGATGAAGCGGCGCCGCGAAGGCATCGCCGTTGCTGCTGCTGGCAAGTAACCAGCGAAGGGATTTCTCCCGGAGACAGAGAGCCGAAGGTTACATGGAACTGTGGCCAGGGGCAGCGCTAAACGCGGCTGACACGGGCACACACCAGACGCAGCTGAAATGCCCGGCCGCAAAGGCGACCAGACCGGGGGTGCCGGAGCCGTATGGCCCGCCCGAGGCAGGGGAACCACGACAATCCACCCAGCACCCATGAGCATGGATCTGAGGCAGGGGTGGTGTGGGCGACGGTGGACGCACGCGCCATGCCAGCGGCGGCGCAGCCCAGCCTGGGAGGCATAGAGCAGCAGGACGCACGACACGCCGGAGTGGAGTTTTGCCCGAGCGGAAGGATGCGGCGCACGGGCGCAGAGGTGGAAGACCCCGAGCCAGCCTGATGACCACCGCGGTTGGGGGCCACGCACTGAACGAAGGGGCGCCAACTGACTTACATCTCCACGCGGTAGTGATGCATTTCTCCAGGGCT